AAAAACACAAATAAACACAAACTAAACATATTTATACAAAGTCGGGTTTATTCAACGATATTAACAATAAAAAGTCGATAAGTACAGCAAAAAGTATATACAAAAATAGTTACAATTTGCACTTATCACCATCTCATTTTAATCGGTTACATCACTTGAATTATGTTTTTCACCAAACATCTCTCACATTTCTTTTTACCGCACTTTCTCACTTTTATTTTAATTTTTCCTTTCTATTTATTTATTATCACTAAAAATATCAATAATCTATTTTTTTTTATTTTAATAAAATTAAAATTGTATTTACCTCACGAATCATTATCAACACAATATCTATTTTATTTTAATCAATTATTATTTTAATTTAAAAGAAAAAAAAAATATTTTTAAATATTAATTTTTTTCTTTATGTATTTCACGATTTTTTCTTCTTTTTATATGATTATTTAATATAATTAAATTTATATCATTTTGTTTATTTAGTAAATTATTTTTAATTTTATACTTATATCTAAATATATTTTATTTTACAGCAAATAGTTTTTTTATCTCACGAATCATTATTAGCAAAATATTTATTTTATTTTAATCAATAATTATATTTATTTAAGAGATAATTTTTATTTTAAAATATTAACATTTTATTTTTTTTCTCATCTCACGAGTGTTTTTTTATATGATTATTTAATATAATTGAATATATATAATCATTAATTTATAATTAAATTATTCATTTTAAATTTATATGTGTTAAAATAAATTGTATATAAAATCGAATAAATTTATATAATATCGTAATAGTATAGGATATCAAAATGTTAACAATACTAGTATTGATATCACAATGTTAACAAGCGTGATATTTTTTTAAACATCATAAAGTTTGATTTAAATAAATTGATCTATTAACCTATAAAATAGAGGAGAAAAGTGCCATTTTTATGATTAAGAAAACCTAATTTTTGTTACAAAATCGTACGTAGTCTTTTTACCGTTTTACGCCTTCAAATCGCACACAATTCTACACAAATCAATTTCTCCAAACAGCATGAACTTCTTCAAAACCGTCTTCTCCGATGAACCCGGCTCGCCGTCGCATGATTCCGACCAAAGCGACTCGCCACCGCATGATCCCGACCAAGCCGAATCAGATCACGATACATCCACCGAAAACGCCGCCTGGAGCTTCGGCGGATTGATCCAAACCCTAGCATCTAAATCCGAATCTGTCATCGCTAATTACCGGCACGATCTCGAAGAATTCGGCTCGGGGTTGAAGATTGAAACATCGGTGATCCGAGAAGCCGCCTCACGCGCTGTTAAAGACCTCCCGGCTTCCCTAGATGTTGGCGCCTCGGTGGCTCAGGAATCCCTCGAGACCGTTGGCCAAGCGATCGACGACATCGGCAGCAGCGTTTGGAAATCGACTGCGCAGATTATCTCACACGGTAGGGATTCTCTTTTAGCCCCTGATTCTGATTCTGATTCGAGCAATAACGGTAAGAGAATATTGAGGAGTAGTAGTAGTAGTCAGGGTTTGGATTTGAAATATAGTAGATTTGATGTATTGATGCGAGGTCTTCAGAGTGATGTGAATACCTATTTGGAGGAGCCTGAAGATTTGGAGAATTTCAATGAGTGGAAATTAGCGTTTGAATTGGATAATAAGGAAGAGGAGATTGAGAATTTGATTAAAGAGAATTCTGTTGTTGATGAGATTTATGAGATGGTTGTTCCTAGTAAGATTGATGATGAGAGATTTTGGAGCAGGTATTTTTATAAGCTGCATAAGCTTAACCAAGCTGAGGAGGCAAGGACTAAGCTTGTGAAGCGTGCGATTTCTGGCGAAGAGGAGGATTTGAGCTGGGATTTCGATGATGATGATGATGATAATAATGATGATGGGGATGTGTCCAAAGGTAGTATCAGTGGGGTTTCTGAATTGAAGGAGGATAATTCTGCTAAGGTTGCCGCTACGGTTGGTGCTAATGTTGAGACTGTTAAGGATTTGAAGATAGAAAATGATGATAGGGATGTTGTTGCTCCTGAATCTATAACTGATGAAGGCGCCAATGTTGAAACTGTTAAGGGTTTGAAGATAGAAAATGACGAGAAGGGTGTTGTTGCTCCTGAATCTATAACTGATGAAAGTGCTAATGTTGAGACTGTGAAGGATTTGAAGATAGAAAACGACGAGAAGGGTGTTGTTGCTCCTGAATATATAACTGATGAAGGTGATAAATTGGAGGTGAATAATAATGACAATGTGGCGTCTAATGTTCCAGTAACTGTGATTGTGGGTGATCAAGATGAAAAGTTGGATGAGAAAAATGAGGCATCAGATATGAAGACAGATAATGATAACGGCGGTGAGTCCTGCAAAGATAGTGATATTTCAGTTGTTTCAAGCCAGCCTTCATTGCCTGAGGAAGAAGACATCAGCTGGGAAGAAATTGAAGACGTTGAAAGCAATGATGATAATAAAGACAATGTTGGTGGGTCCGAAAGTAGGATTGATTTGCGGAAGAGGTTAAGTTCTGCAACGGCTGACCAAGATGATGAGGATCTAAGTTGGGATATTGAAGATGATGATGAGGCTGTGAAGTCATGACCAGATTGTGGGTTTATGATCATTATTGATTCAATATATAAACACAAATTGCTCATTAAGTGTATAATTTTTTTCCTTGTTACTGAATGATGTAAATAAGATCTATTTTTTATGTCTTATACAAAGGTGAACACCAATTGAAATAAAGTTCAATTTGTATGCTCATGTAGACTCTTCATCCTCTCTTTGAAGGAGGGTCTCGAGCCATGTTGTGTGGCATCTTTTTGCGAGTAGGAATGTCCAGTTATTTGCATTTCACTATATTTTGGGGATTGCATAATCATGTCATAATGAGTCGCCTTAATACTGATATATTTTGTGAGAAAGAATGTTCTGTTAGTCGCATTTCACTATATTTTGGGGATTGCATAATCATGTCGTATTGAGTTCCCTTTATACTGATATATTGTTCAATCATTGACTCAAATGCAACTTTCTTTACATCACTTGTAGGAGAGCTGTACTTCCAGAATGAGTTTATCTTGCAATAGGAGATGTTCTGCAATGGGGTGCTGAATGAGTTTATCTTGCAATAGGAGATGTTCTGCAATGGGGTGCTTGTTTATAATGTGTATCATGGTTAGCACCTTTTTCTTCACCCATCAAATAGCTACCATATTTATAGTTAATTTGGACAAACTACATATAAAGATTGTGGAGTTTTGTCTTTGGCATTTATTAAAAATCTTGTACATTTGGAATATATGATCTAGATCTTGACTGAGTTTTGTCTCTACTGAGTTTCCCGTTATTTTGAAAATATTTTGTAGGAATAAACATCCAAGAGTAATTAATATTAGAAATATGCTCAGAAGTCAGTTTGTCCAAGAAAAATGGGAATTAACTAGTTAGGAAGGTGAAATAGAAAATTAGGAGGTACAAATTGCAGACACCATAAACTAGATTGGACAATCGGTCGGTTTTAAGCCCAAAATAATTTCGACCGATAAAATTTTGGTTTTTGACGGATTCAATTAAATTGTTTTGGCAAATAAATCGGATCAGTTTAATCGATTTAATATTTATTGAATGAATATATAAAAATGGTTCATCTTTTATAAAATTCACAAACTTTATTTTTTAATTTAAAAAATATATCAAAATTTTAGATTAATATTAAAAAAACTATTTTTTATTATTAAAAAAGTTACTAATTTAAAAAATATATCAAAATTTTAGATTAATATTAAAAAAACTATTTTTTATTATTAAAAAAGTTACTATTACACTAATATTTAAAATATCATTTGACATTAGTTTCACCATTATCATACTTTAAACCAACATTAAACAATACTCAGTTTCGTGTTGCATATGTATTTTTATGAGTATACAATAGCACAATTAAATTATAAAAATGATAATATTCTTACAACATTATAAACCCTATTTTTATATTGAATAACAAAAATAAATAAAATAAAATAAATATTAATTAGATTCAGTCAATTTAGATTTTTTTTTTCTTTTGATTTAATCAACCAGTTCCGATCCATATAATGAACCGACTAATCTGATTTCATGATTCAGATAAACGATTCACTGACCAAACTTTGTTTCCACCAAAAATCAAACTCGGTCGGTTTCGATTTTTGACAGATCTAAAGTAACCATCTTTATTAACCAAATTAAACATTTGAATCAATCTCACACCCAACCCGTTTGCATAAATTTACATAAAAAAGACAATAATTCAGTGGGACAGTGGACACAATGACACCCCTTTTTTTAATCAAATTTACACAAAAAGACAATAATTCAGTGGGTCAGTGGAAACAGAATGACACCCGTTTTTTATCGCCCTTGATTGAATCTCTATTTGGTTATAAAATTTTGACATAAACCACAGAAAAATAAGTTTGTCAAATAATATCAAATAGCATCACTTTGATAATTATTTTGGGAAACTTGATATTTGTTCTATGGAAAAGAAGAATGTTCCTATTGCAAAATATAGGATATGCTTCACATCAGGCATAAACAAGCGTCAAAAGCATTAGGGGACTTGTATTCCCCGGAGCAAAATCAGATATTCAAAGTCTTCACAAACTATTGTGCTCAGACCTACATTTTACATAACACCACCAGCAATGATATCACAGTTTTCTGCATACCAGGGTGAAAGTATGATAAGCTATGTATTATATATAAAAGACAACATTAAATTCAAAGTTAAAATAACACATCCCAAAGGAGATTCTTATATCACACGTAAATACAATTGTAAAGCTACAAATTTTCCATTTCACCAAAAGTGCTGTCTATCAGCTGTAAAGGAATACTAGAGAAGCATTGTATATCTGCATAATGCTTACTACAGCATCACAAAGATGCGACACAACAAAGTAGTTTCACTTATTTTTGGTCAAGATCAATTTGTGAAGGATGACTAATTGTTTGCCTCCCTCAGAATCCTCAAGATGGAAAGGAACAGGTTCAGGATGTCCAGATAAAGAGTGACAGAGGCCCCAATGTATTCATCATAAGTGAAGCGCTTGATCAGGTTGTCAGTGTCATAGACAATGTAAGCAGAGAAAATCATAGCACCAATTCCACCATAGATAGCATGTGCTGCTGGTCCAAGAGGGAAGAACATCTGCATCAAAGAAAAACTAGTCATGAGCAAGAGAAAAGCTGCAAGCATACACACATACATAAATAATGCGAGTCTATAGACAGGCCTAACCACATGAAGACAACAGTTTCATCATGTCTTATAAATGAATCACACCTAATGGAAAAGCATTTTAAATTTAAAATTCTGTGTATTTAGAACCGTGGTATCAAAGCATATCACAAAAGAATGCTATCTCTGGAAGCTTTGGATTCAACACACGTTGAAAGACCATTCACCGGGGTTCCACCATACCAGTCTCCCTTTAATTATAAATATCAAATCTCATTTATCCTCCTTATAAGTGCTTCTATGAATTTTTTCCTCTCATTCCTTAACCCTCTAGACTAGACTACATGCATGTTTGGCATGGAATCCTAGAGATTCAAATTTACTTCCAACCCTCAGCCCCGGTCGAATAACATAGCTTCTAATGTCAGCATGATTTCAATCAATGTTGTTGATGGTGGTCTACGGTGGAGAGATAAAATCCCGCCACACGGCCACTTTGTTGCGCCACCATAGCGGATTATGGCGGAAAAACCCGCAATATCTGAAGATATTTACCATTGCAACGAGTCCAAAAACCGCCATGGCGGCCGATATTCAATAACACTAATTTCTACCATATTTTCTACAATGAGAACTAGTCAGTTTTTCTACAACAATTTCATTCTTAATCCTATCCCATATTATCCCATGTGACCACTTACCCATCCTAATATTATCATTTGACATTCATAGCAAACACAAACTATCAATAACATTGAAATATAGAAATTTACATGAGAAAAAAAAACTAGTTATCAATCAATCATACGAAATAAATGAAATAAAATGCAATGAAACCAACCTGCATCATGCCGGTGAGAACAAGAGTAAACAGACAGGTAAACAAAAGAGGACCAAGGTAGCTAAAATCTTTCCCCTTCTTGGAAGCCCAAAAGGCATAACCAGTTAAAGAAGAAACCACAGCAGAGGTCAAAATCAATGCCTCGAGAACAATTTTTCCTGCAAAACAACACACACAATACAATCAATCATCAGAATAACCGAATGCCAATGCCGAACGTGAAATCAACAATCAAAATTGAAAACAAAACCCTACCGTCGGTGTTAGCACAGGTAACTCCAACGGTGAAGCTAATCGACAAGGTAAAAAGTCCAAGCAAAATATAATTATGAGGATGCTTTTGTTGGTACCTCAACAAAGGAATCAAAACTACAAAACAAAATTCAGATCAGATCGAATCAAATCGGATCCGCGCAATTGAAATACAATTAACAGAAAACAACCGTACAGATAAATGGGAGGAAGACGAGGAACAGGAGAAGAGGAGAATTTCCCCTGAGGAGAAGATTAAGAGGAGCATAGAAAACGGTTACGACGGAAACGACGGTGGTTAGAAGGATCTGAGCGCAGAGGATTCCGTAGACTTTACGGATGAAACCCCAACGGAGTTGATTTTCGCCGACGCTGAGACCGGGGTAGAGGGTTTCTCCGGATTCGATGTCGAATTCTTGATCGTTTTTGACGCTTGTGTAGCCTCGCTTGTCCTGCTGCGCCTGTGGCGATTCATCGAACATCATCATCTTCGTCTTTATCGCTCGATTCCTCTTCTTCTCTCTTCTGGTTTTTTTTTTATCTTGAAGATTTGGTACTTTGTTTATATGATGATGACAGAAATCAATGAATGCGCGTTGTTCAGTTTTCAACGGTGACAGGCTTTTTTCAAGCCGTTGGATTAGAGATTAGAGTTTACTTCATCATGTCATTTGTAATATTTATTTAAAACTTTACTAAAATGGAGTAATAATACTTTACTTCCCTCTCTTATACTAGTTGTCCTCATTTCTATTTAGTTTTCCTTTATATTAACTTATTCTTATTTATTTTATTTTAATTAATATATCATTTTAATAAATAAATTTTATTTTAAAATGACTGTTAATTTTATTTTTCAATAGAGTAATGATTACTATTTTTTCAATTGTCTTTTACTTTTTATTCTCTATATCACTTTCAATATATTAATAGAATTAATTTTATAAAAGTGTAATGTCTTATGATAACGTCATTGTATTCTTTAATTTGTGTGTAAAAACTTTAAACAACAATCGTTTTAAAAGATAGGAAGTGTTAATAAGATTATATTAATAAATAAAATTCATTTTATCATTGAAATCAACATAACTAATTATTATCTTAAAAAATATAAAAATCTCAAAGATAACGTTTATTATGAGAAGAAGGGAATAACATATTGCTAAAATAATGTAGAAACTTTCATTTTACTAATTTTATTAATAATGCTAACATTAGCAATGTTATCTTAATATTAAAATCTATCATTAAAAAAGCAATATAATACGGTTAAGTGAATTAAGTCCTATTTTTATTGGTCAATTAATTATTTTTTGAGGGTAAAACGGTACTAAAAATATTAATCCTAATAATTATTATTATGTACAGCTATTAATTGTTTCATTTGTTTCTAAGGTAGACCATTGATTTTCCAACTCAAATGCAATGTTCACCCTACTCTCATACTTTCTCTCTTTCTCCATCTTTATCAATCTGGTTTCATCCTCCTCTTCATCTCCCCCCCCTCTCTCTCTCTCTCTCTCTCTCTCTCTCTCTCTCTCTCTCATCCTCCTTTTATTTTTCTTCCTTTTTCCTCAATTTTTAATCGAAATAAAACTTGAATGAAGCGATGATATGCGACACACACGATGCCACTTTGTATAGGGTTGACGGATCAGAAGCTGTAGATGTGGTTCTGCCATAGTTGGTAAGTTGTTGAGTTAATTTAATTGTTAGGGTTTTGACTAGTTTGTTATTATTATTGTTTTTTCGTTGAACCAAATACAAACAAGCGAAAAACCGCGACATCTCTAACGAAACCCTAAAAGATGTCACTTCGTATCTGCTAAAAGCAATGGTTTTAGATCTTGAAGGTAAAACTTGTTATCTTCGTAACATTATCTCTGTTTAGTTTGGAAGTTTTTCGATTTTTGTGGTTGTTAATGAATTTTAGGTTTGAATCTCATTGATTGTTAATGATCATGATCATTTCAGTTTTGAATCTTTTTTTTTAATGAGTTACACATTGTTAAGTATTTTTATTTTCTCTCTAAAATACTATGGGATTTTTGTTTCTTGAGAATTCAAAAACATTGGAATCTTATAGTTGAAAACTTTATTTCACAGACAACTATGGTCAAAGAAACACATATTTCTGTCAGACGTGTCACATAGAGCCTTGATGGAAGTTTTGTGGGTACGTTATATTTTAAAACACATTTTGAAGTTGTTTGACTTAGTATCTAACTGGTTGCTTTGGTGTAGGTGTTGCAACACCAGCGACTATGTTATTGATGATACTTTTTTTTGTTGTAGATTTCAATAAAACGTGAATCTCCTCTTCCCTTTTAATTTTGGTTTTGATTCTCCTTATTTCGTTTGCTTCGGTTTTGTTTGTGTGGTGTTATTTGTTGTTGTTGCGAGAGTTATTTTTGTTAACAACGTGCTTTCAAAATACAGAGCTTTGCACCTTGCCTGCAAAGTGTTCGATGAAAGTTTCAAATCAATCTCTTTCTTATTTTTTTTCTATTTCGTATTTATGGTTGTTGATGTTTTATTGTTGTGGTTAAGCTTATTTGGTTCCTTATAGGTCGTTCGGTGATGAGAAGTTATGCACAAATGTTATGCAAGTTGTTACTTGCAATGACTACAATAAAAAATATAATGTGTCTCAGAATATCGTCGGAAAACACATTGATAGGGTTTTCACCTTCAATAAGGTTCTTCATTTCAAAACCTAAACCATTTTATTTGTGTCAAAACTATTTTATTCAAGGTAAAGTAAATGTTGATGTATTGCACTAACCAATTCATTTGTTTTCTATTGCTTTGAAACTGGAAAAAAAATGAAGGCATGCTTCAGAGGGACGGTTGAAGGGAATTATTGGATACACGGATGAGGATTTTGTCTCTAATGACTTTGTCGGTGATTCAAAGTAAAGTAAATGTTATTGTATTTCAACTCTGGAATTACGGTTTATATAGATAAGTTATATTTTCTTATATTTGATAGCTTAATTGATGCTTTATTTTGTATTCTTTCTTAAATTTTATTTAGAATAACATGATATTTTATTCAGAAATGGTTGAAAATGTTAAAAATGGATTTTTTGTGTTGTAGATCATTTTTTGTCGATGATGCAATCAGAAGAGAATCAGATCATAGTGATGTTGATATTAAATTTGTAGAGGTAATTAAAATATTTTAGCAACAAGGAAATAACTTATGATTTGAGAACTTAATAATTCATATTCTTCCTACATTTTTCCTTCATAATGATTTAGATCAATTGATTGTTATAACCTACATCGTTCTGGTCACATTTTAACATCTCATTTGTGACCAACAACATTTTCTTTTATCTGGTGAAGAAGTCTTTATATCTCATGTACAATATTTATTTCCACAAGTTTCTTTAGGTTACTTTATTTTTGATGTAGCGATGATCATTTGGTTTTTTCCTTCTGGTGTATATGAGCATGTAAGGATAATATCTTATTCACTTGCATTGGTTATGCTTACTGTCTTATGTAGTTGAATGCTCTTATTCAATTTTAAGACATTTCATTTATAGGAACTTAGTTGGAGATGATTAAGGCCAGGATTTTAACTTGACTTAATGTTAACATTGGTTCAGGTGGTTCAACATTTGTTTTCTTTAGTATTCGTAGCGTATTCAATCTTGAGTGAGGAAGGGCAGCTTTACACATACATGGTCATGATCTCCTAAACAACTACTCCATGAGTCAATTTGAGATGGTAAACTTGCTCTTTTAAGTTTATTAATTATTTTATGACATGTCATGTAATGTTTTTCTTTTATTGCTTGATGTTGTTGATGGAGTTGGTCAATTGACATTCTTTTGTTCTACCTAATTTGATATAAGTTATTTGAGTTTTAGATTTGATTTTACTTTCTTACCCTTGAAAGATAAATAAGAGATGAAGTATGAAGGTTAAATGCGATCACCATTTTGGTCCCACCGGTCATAAACTATTAATTTGCTTTCCCATGTGAATCTAATGTTTGATGCCTTTGTCATTCTTTCTAACTCAATGAATCTTAAATGTCTAAGATTTTTGTGTGTTAGGTTTGTGATTTTATGGTTGGCAATAATTTTGGTAAAACAAGGAGTTGACAACAATTTTATCAAAACATGTTTCATTGGAAAAAAACATGTATTGCAACCTGTTGTACCCCAAAATTTTCCCTCCCATATTCCTCAAGACATGTCAAGAACCATCTCCAAGTTGTTCAAGATGGCTCAAGAGTTGGACAGTCAAATCACCTCCTAAGGCAGTCAAGTCAAAATTAGGGTTTTGTGTTGCATCAAGGTCCTTAAATCAAAATGATCTCAAATTCTCCCCAATATCCTAATATGTTCTCAAGTTCATCCATGTCAAATTTCAAGCCTTGCAGAGGAAGTTTGGTCAGTCAATTGCTCAAGAGGCCCAAAAATCGACTGTGCTAGGGCAAAAGTCAACTGTGACCTAAATACAGTCAAACCTCAAGATTTTTTGTCAACATTCTAATTTTGAAGGATAATTCATCATTTTATAAAGGGTTGATCATGATTCATCAAGGATTGCTCAAGATTCATCAAGATTCAAAAGTTGTTAAATTAGGGTTTTGTAGGAAAAGTCAACTCAACTTTGACCAAGCATAACTTTCTCATACTTTATGAGAAATGACCCATCCAAATCTCATTTTGAAGAGGATGCAATTTCCTAAAATCCATATTCACACCCCAAGATCAAGAAATGAACTCACAAAAATTTACAAATTTGGACATTATAGGTCATTTTTGAAAGTCAACAAAAACAACTTTTTTTCAAAAGCTTATAACTTGAGCATGGAATATCAAAATGATATGAGACAAAAAGGGTTGATTATAGGACATCTCAAGGTTTCTAAAAAGTCCAAGAATACATCCAAAAGTTCAAAATTGAAGAAGTTATGCATTGTTGAAGTTGGGCATTTTTCCAAAATTATCAAAAGTCAACTATCCTCAAAACTCCAATTTTTGACAAAAGGCCCCATTTTTTTCCACTTGATATGGTCTTGTCATGCCACACACGTGTCACATCTTTAATTTCATGGCCATTCATTTATTTTTCTATTTTATTTAATTTTTATTGATTTAATTCATTTTAAATCAATATTAAATCAAATAAAATCTAAAAATTGATGTAATGAGATTCTTGTGGTCATTATAGGTCTTCATTGTCAAGATACACCAAACCAAATCCGAATCATGCCTTATGGTGCACAAAATATTTGATTTGAGCCATTTTTGGAAGTTTGTTAATGGAAGATCATATCAAATCATGAATCTTCAATGCACGTGGATTCGAGCCAAAAGGTTAAACCTAATTCATTCTATAATACTTGTACAAGCCAAGCATAACAAAAACACGCCTAAAGAACTGCAGAAACGGCAAAACAAACTTTGAAAAAAAAGCTTGAAAACTTGGAATCTGAAATCCACCTTAGAGCTTGATTCAAAG